GGATTTGAGAAACACACACACACACACACACACACACACACACACACACACACACACACGTTTAATTTTGATATGCAGTGACTAGCTTAAGGGCTGGGCATTTCTAATCCTTCCCACAGCTAGCAAATACTCCCCTATGGTACACTCCTGAGTTAACATCTTTTAAAATCTGTATTTCATCTCTGGTACCCCAAACACAATTGGGAAAGTGGCCCCTGTGGTCAGTTTCCCTGATTCTCACATGGTGGTGGGCCTTTAGGTCTGGTCTTTCTTTTTCCCCATCATGATGATCTCTGCTTCCTTCCTCTCTCCCAGTTCCTAGCCTGTACCAATCTCAAAGTCTTGCCTCAGTCTACCTGCCCAACCACTGGGTGTTAGCTCTTAATTGATAAGATCAAAAGCCAATTAGGGACAAGGACCTTCAGCATTTGGACATTTAGATTCCTGATTTTGAAGGTTGGATTAATTCAAAGCATTAGAACCAATCCCCAACAGTTATGGTCACTCCTTTCTATAAATGAAGTTCACAGCGCTGGAAAACAGAAATACTCTTCATTTACCTACTATTGATGACCACTTTGTACCACACATACACACACACACCACTAGATATTCTTTCTATCTTAACTCTAAGTAAACTGTAATACTTTTTAAAAATTATTATTTTAAATATGTGTTTGTGAGTTTATCTATGTGAGCATATGAACTCATGCATGTGCAAGTGCCTGTGGAGGCCAGGAATAGGTGTTGGGTCTCCTGGAGCTGAAGTTACAGGTACTGGACATGATACTGGATCCTCCGCAACAGCAGTACATACTCTTAACTACTGACTCATCTCTCCAGCCCTGAATTGTAAATGTTAACCTTTAGAAATTCAAATTAGATGCAATTCAGAAAGATCATAGAGGTATCTGCCACCTATTTCGAAAGTTGTTATTATATCCAACACCAAAATATATTATCTAGGTCAGCAATTTCATTTTCAGTACTATTTGAAGTACGTATTACTAAATCCTACTTTGAAATTCAATTCTCAGAAAAGACAATGCAGTAATTTTTGTGTGTCTCATATTCCATTTATTATAAGGAGAAACTATGAAAATATGCCTTAACACACCATTGCTAAGCTAGGTGAAATCATTTTTGTGTGAACTTTTTTAAGTTTAAATACTCTTGTGTACTTAAAAGCACATTTTTAAAATGTCATACTTTGTGGAGACATGCAAACATAGTTACTGTATAAGGGGCATAAAGCATTTTAGCAACTACCAAACTATTCTCTAAAATAGTGAACAAATTTATACTTTTATACCAGCAATGCAAGGTGTCCTATTTTCTACCACTTTGGGATCATCTTACTTAACACCTGTCAAATTGACAGAGGAAAATGGTCTCATGGCTATTTTAATAAAATATTTTCAATAGTGTAACCTACAAAAGATATATTTTGTAAAAAGTATATACATACTAGTATTTCAACCTAATCCTTTTCCCTAATAAATAAAATGTCAAAAAAAATCAAAGGTAATTTAATGTACACAAACATACACATACCAGCCTTTCCTAAGCATCATTTACTAAGAGATTTCTGGGCTTTGCTGAAATTAAGAATGTCACACTTAACAGAAGATATAAATCTGATTTCTTTTAAAATGTCTGTTAAGCAAACAAGCAAATTAATCAAGGCTCCCAATGCTATAACATATTTGTAACTGACAATGTACAATCTAGTCCATGTTAGTTTTCTGAAAGGGATACCCTACATTAAGATTCTAAATTCAATTTTACAAACAATTAGGAAAAAATGATGACTCTGGAAATGTAAATTTAAAATTTGAAGTCATGTCATGAATATAAGGACAGAGCTTGTCTTAAGAAACTAAAGTATTATCTATACAAAGAATCAAAGAAGGTAAAGTGGGGGCGGGGGAGAAAGAAGGTAAATCGGGAAAAGAAATAAGGACTTCAGTGAGGAAGAAAACCCCTAAGTGGCCAGGAAAGCAGACAGAACTGTTTTAAAATGAAAAAATAAACAAACAAACAAAAAAACAAAAAACAAGCCAAGCTGTTTGGTTTTTAATGATGGAATGAACAATGATAGAATAACGTAAGACCACTACAGAGAAAGCCTGAGCAAAGGTCATTATGCTTATCTTTAGATACTAAAATGTTACTCAGGTAACAACCTTATCAGACTGAAGGTCTACAGACAATATAAGGTAAGGTGATATTAGTTCAGAGTTTTACAGGTTTTTGGTAAAAAGATAAGTAGGCAACTTGATCATATTTCAACATCTACAATTTAAGATAAGATTAATAAAAATGTAAGGTCGGAACTAAGAAAAGAAAAGCAATATGAACTAATGAGAGTGCTGTGGTTAAGCATTAAGTTTGCTCTGACCTTATTCCCTAGCAAAGTTTAAAAATGCAAACTGCTCAAGTCACATAGTTTCAGGTAAGATATGTATCTTTCAAGATAAACTTTCTCTGGGAACTAGAAATAAAGATTGACACAAGTCTGAAATTTAAAGATCAACACCCACTACAGGTTTTTAGAGTAAAAGAACAAATTATTATTTAGTGAATAAAGCTATGTAGTTTTCAACACATGCCCATTATATGAAATAGCAGCTCATTTCAATTTTCATATGGCTATTTCTTAGTAATACTAAAAAAATCCGGCAGTTCTATGGGCTGCTGACTGACGACGGTCCATGTTCTAGAGGCAGAGCATTTAAAAAGGGATAACTGGATCAAAGCGGAGCTGACCTCCTAGCCTAGGTGAGAGAAATGCACAGAAAATAAAATCGTTCAAAAAAGGAAAACTTTACTTTTGGAAAACAGATCAAACAGAAACTTCAAAAAATTATAATACTTTCTTCCTATCTTCATTTTACATATACTCATGATAGTAGTGGCTTGATTGAAAAGCTAGATTGAAAGCTCTCAGGACTATCTTCCTTTCTGAATTGTTTCTGAACCTGTTTAGTTGTTATCTAAATTTCTGGTTTAATCACATACCCCCCCCCCCACACACACACACACGTCTAGTCCCTTAACTAAGGTAAATAAAGTTATCTTGTTATCTTATTGGCACTTAACACTCTCCAGGAATCTGAGCAAATCTTGGGGGGAATTCCCTCTCTAAACTGGATTCTTCTGCTGGGCAAGATGAGAGGGAATAGGATGGAGCATTAGTCAAAATAGCGTCCTAAATTATTGCTTTAAGATGATTTATTAATACCAATAGGGCAATGAAACCAGAAACTTCTGGGTAAACAAAACTTCACTTTCCTATCTGATTTTTTTTTTCTTTTTAAAAAGAGCACTTAAAGTAATTGGGAAAAAACGGAAACAAAAAACCCACAGGAGCAGAGTACTGTAATAGAAAGCACCTTCCATCCTACAACCTGGATATTAACTATTGAGAGTAAACGTGTTTTGTGCCATAAGCCTGGTAAACCAAATGATGGTAAGGTGAAGCTAAGGTATTTCACTAAACAAACATAATACATATTCTAATTTCTATAACATTAGAGGTGCAAATTTAATCAAAGTGTAGGTTTTAGAAACAAAACAAAGCCTGAAGGAGGTGGCATGCGCCTTTATTAATCCTAGCACTCTAGAGGCAGAGGCAGAGGCAGAGATATCTCTGAGTTGGAGGCCAACCTAGTCTACAGAGTGAGTTTCAGGGCAGTCACAGCTTCACAGAGAAACCCTGCCAAGAAAACAAAACAACAACAACACTAAAAGGGATTTGGGTCATCTAATCCAACACATGCAATAATGTGCCCATGATCATCAAGCTAGTTTGTAGTACAAAGCTATAGTCACAGAATACCATTATTAAGTGGCTTTTTTCTTACTAAGATTTTTTTGTTGTTGTTGTTTTATTTTAAATAGCATTTTTCACTCTGGGAAAATAACCAGGAATGTTTTAGGAAGGTACCAACATCAATTACAGGAAACATTAAGCAGGCCTGAGATTAAAATCATAAAATTCACACTTTCAGTTTGACTTAAACTACTGTGCAGAGCTCCAAGAGAAGTAAAATGCAAAACAGGATACACCATGTCAGTATAAAGTCAGGAAAATAGGATACAGAAAAAGCCTGAAAGTCACTGTTTACCTAGTGGGGAAAACTATTTATATTACACAAAAGCATTCAGCAAAGTGTCATATTTAAGAAAATAATTTTGTTTTCAGGCTAAATTCCCACGCTATATACACAATGAATCAACATCCTATCACAATCAAGTCCCCAAAACTACTTAAGATTTTTATGTATTTTATGCCACACTTCATTTTTGTGCTTTTTTTTTTTTAATTCTTTAAAAATCTGTCCACCTCACAGAAGACATCAGACAAGCCATTGCTGGTCCCGGTAGGAACAGGTGGTCCATGCTGCGTGCCTCGTCCTCTAGGCCACATGTCCCTATTCCGCCTAATCTCATTTCTGAAGCATTATTTCCGGTGGCCCAGATGGCTCTACGCACGCCAAAACGATCCACCTCAGAAGGATTAAGAACCCAAGGCCACATCTGGCATCCAGAGGGATGGTGGCGGAGGCTTACAGAATGGGGGAATTGCGGCCTGGCAAAAAGTGATTCAGGAAGGTAGAGGCTCCGCTCTACGCCCGACTCCCCAATGTCACTCGGGAGAGATGGAGGTTCTCGTGGCATCACCCTCGCAGAGCCGGGCCGCTGAGCATCCGGCTCGGTAGGACAGCAGCCTCTGCCCGACAGAGGCTGCAGCAGGCAAGACCCTCCCGGCGCTCGCCCGTCATCCCGGGGCGACTCGCGCCGGCCACGGAGGGGAAGTGGGAGCAGGCGAGGGGCGCGGGCGGGGCCGGGCCTAATCACATGGCGCAGCCGTCGCAGGCAGCCTGGCATTGCTTTCTTTCTCTTCCGCGAACCTCCGTTGCCCTGCCGCACCGCCACCGCCGCCGCCCACCGCCCAGGGTCCGACCCCTCCCCTCCGCCTCACCCACGCAACTCACTTGTCGCCCGCGGCCACCACCTCCTTGCCCTCGCTGTTGCCGAACGCGTCCGTCTCCCCCGGGCTGTCCTTGGGGCCCGGGGTTGCGGGTGGCGGCGCCCCTGGCTGCTGTTGCTGCTGCTGTGGCGGCGTACCTCCCTTGCCCAGCTCCTGAAGGATCTCCGAGGGCGAACTGGACAGGCCGCCCGCGCCAGGGCCCTTCGCGCGGCCGCCCCCGCCCCACCACGGGTGGAGTCGCGCAGCGGCCACCAGGCCAGCGGTCGGTCGGCTCCCGCCCCGGGGGCGCCGGCATAGGGTACCGAAGGGCTGCGCGCGCCGCAGGACGGCTCCGACGGCGGCGGGCGGCCTCAAGAGCAGCTCTCGCAGCATCGCCGAGCCTCGCAGCCGCATCATGCCGCCGGCTCCCGCTCGTCAAGAGGATGCTTGGGGCGTGGGCGGCTGCTCTGCTCCCGGAACGGTGTCCCGCACCGCAGGAAGAGGACTGAGAAGAGAAAAAGTGCGCGACGGGGTGTGGCCCCTGCTCCGCCGCTCCCGTCGCCGCCGCTGCCGCCGCCGCCACCGAGCCAGCCGCCAGCCGAAGTTCCTCTGGCCGCCGCGAGCTCCGCACTGAGACGGACGCTCAGGGGAGGGCTGGAGACATAGCGCGCTCACCAACCGGGGGCGGGAGGACGCCGACAGCCTGCCCCCTGCACGCTCTTCCATTGGTTCAGCCTGCCAACTTCTCTTCTGATTGGAGAGCGAATCAGTCAAATTCGTCTCCGCGCCCCTGCGCAGTCCCGCGGGGTCCTGGGAGGCGGGGAGAAGGACGACTGACGTGTGTCAGCCCCGCCAGCGGCTCTTCCCCTTCCCTCGGGCCACCTGAGGCCACGCTGGGGACCCGTGGCTCGGGAGTCTGGCCATTCACTAGGCAGGTGCGCTCCAGGGAAGCACGTCCTCGAGCTATTGAGGAAGCTGGAGTGCGCCAGTCCTGGCTGCCCAGGGCTGGAGGGAGATCGGCGGTGGCAGAACGCCGGGTCCAAGCCAACGGCTTGCCCCCTCGGCTTGGAGAATGTGTCCGCCCTTCTGAACATCTGTCCTGCCAAGGCCGCCCGGACGAGCTTCATCCCTCTCCCAAATGTGCTTAAAACTTTCCATGGTTGGCTACTGCCCAGAAGCGAAATGTTTTGGAAAAAATGAGCAAAATCTTTTCAGCTATGCAACTTAAGACATTTAGAACGCTTGAGCGTAGGAACAACGAAGAAAGGAGAAAAAGCCAGAGTAAGGGTGGATCTCTTCTATCATCTACAGGAATTCTCCAATTTTTTTGAACAGCGATTATTTCATTAGTACTAGTTGGCTTGAAAGCAAAATACTGGAGATCTTTTTTCCACTTTAAAAGTTGTTTTTAAAATAGAAGCATCTAAATACCATGTCTCAAAACTGTTTTAGCCCAGCATCACTTTATCCATTTATCCTTTTAGATCTGTGCATATGTTTCCTGGGCCTGTACACACTTTCCACTCCAGAATACAAAATGTTTTAAAACCATTTCCTGAAACAAATAGGCTTAAATGCATAGTTTCACCAAAGTTAGCAGGATATTTATGAGATGGGAAGGGTGTAATGCACCAGATTTAGTAGTCCAATGAATCTGTAAATGTTGAGCTAGATTAGTAACCAAAGAATCTGACTGTGCCTACATGTTACATACAGGTTTGTCATGTTCAACTGTTTTTTTTCAACCTGCTCTTTAGATAGAAAAATGTGAAGGAAATGACCTTATAGAAAAAGATACCAGAATTTTAAATTACATAGATAGGTTTTATTGTTGCTTAAGGTTAACTTGTCAAAAATATTAATAATAGTGAATCAAGGTTCTGGTGTATTTAGGAAAAACAGCACATTCTGGGGGAGAGGTAGCAAATGTTACCCTTAATAATATCTAACTTTTTCTTTCACTGACTTATGAGTGGCTTCCAAACCAAAGTGTTGTTCAGTTTCCTTAAAACAAATAGTTATCAGTTTTTACTGCTTCTTTTCTCCTTTTTCTCAACCTCATCCAGACTACTCACCAATCCAGTCAACGTTTTCATGTCAGTTTTTCCTAGTTTCTCCCATTGCTCAATGAAATGACTTCTGATGATTAAATGTTTAAACACTTTCTAGTATATTTAACAATTAGGAACTTAGGATATGACCCAGTGGGTAGAGGGGCTCCCTTCTCAAGCATGAGGATCTGCAGATCAAATCTCAGGCACTTGCCTACAAGCCAGGCCTGGATGGGAGACAAATGGATCCCTAGGACTCAGAGCTAGTCACGCTAGCTGAATTGGTGAATTCCAGAACCTCTGACCTCCACACAGAGGAAAGCACTCTGTACATGTGTGTGTGCATGCATACAGACAGGCATAGAAAAAGAAAGAAAAGGCACTTATTGGTAGATTAGTTTTACAGTTTCCACTTTTCAGAATGAACTGATAAGAAAGGGCAAATGTTACTTTTAACATTTGGAAGATCCGAGTTTACTAAGGTTTAACCTCTGAGGTAATAATAAAACAACTAATGAGAAAGCTATAGCAAATCAAAACTATTACAGACAGAATAGAAATATGACAGGATATTTTGATTCTTTTTTCATCTTAAAAATTTTTATCTTAATATTTTAATCATACAACTTTGAAAACTGTATTTGTATTATATTACAATTAACCATATCCAAACTATTATTATCAAAACACTTTTTCTGCATATAAGAAAATACCTGGGGGCTGGAGAGATGGCTCAGCGGTTAAGAGCACTGACTGCTCTTCCAGAGGTCCTGAGTTCAATTCCCAGCAACCACATGGTGGCTCACAACCATCTGTAATAAGATCCAATGCTCTCTTCTAGTGTGTCTGAAGGCAGCTACACTGTATTCATACATCAAATAAATAAATAAATAAATCTTAAAAAAAGAGTAAGATGTTCAGTGAAGTAGGAAAAAGGCTTTTAAAAAAAAAATACCTGCAAGAAGAAATGTTGTGTGTGCTAGGCTGTCAGAGACTCTCTGGGACGTCTACTTTGCTAAGTGAGATGCAGTTCCACAGACCCATTGACATAACTGTCAGGAGCAGCCCTGCTTATACACTGAAGGCCTAAAATCAGCCATAGGCCTAAAATCAGCAATAGGCCTGACATACATGCCTGCTAGCACCAAGTCTTGGGTCTCTGTTGAAAAACACTGAAACAGATAGCTGGGAGTTATTGTAAACAGGCAGCTTTGGTGGAAGGCTGCCAAGCCTGGCTCATAGGCCTTGTAGATAGGTAACCTTGGTGGATAGTACCAACTTAGATAAAGACAAGTGAATCATAGTTGGAGTCATAGTGGTCTGTCCCCTGAACCTTCACCCAGCTGACACTCTGTTCTGGAAGATAACTGTACTCCCCCTGAACACCTATACTTCTCCCCTTCATCATCCCCTTCCCCACATCCTGACTTTTTGTGTATATAACCTGTGTGTGCAAAAGTAAAAATTACGATCTGGTCAGATTATAGACAGGTCATCATTCCTTTCGTCTTTGCCTGCTCCCCTCGCTCTCTTTCAGGTGACCTTCCCAGACCCCTGTTTAATGTCTTGCTGGACAGGACACATAACCATCCAAGGGAAAAGATGGCATGTGTGTACTTTGCTCCTGCTCTAAGCCTCTAAGTTGATGAATGTGGCTGAGCTTGCGCCTCAGCATCTGTGTTCTTCATGGCCAGGAAAGGCTAATGCCTCACGATTGCTACATAACCTCTCTCTATGTTTCCCATCTTCATTTCACAAACATTGTGCTTAGTGATTGTTGTCCAAGAGGAAAATAGAAAGTAATTCTTCTTAGACCAGTGCCTCTCAACCTATGAGCCATGAACCCTTTTGGAGGTTTGGGCGATGCTTTCACAGGGTCACCTAAGACCATCAGAAAACAGATACTTACGTTATGATTCACAACAGTAGCAAAATTATACTTATGAAGTTGCAATGAAAATAATTTTATGGTTGTGGGTGGGGGGAGTCACCACAGTGTGAGGAACTGTATTAAAGGGTCACAGCATTAGGAAGGATGAGAACCATTGCCTTGGACTAAAACTGAAAAGACCTGCCTGACACTCTTTCTATTTGTTTACAATTCTTCTAGTTGAAGTATGGAAGGCTCAGGAAACCTTTAAAGAATCTCCCATTGCTACTTCCTGCTTTTATAGGCCCGTGTAAGACTTGTTGAAAAACTCTGCTGAGCATGGCTGCTTTTCCCAGTGCTGAATGTAGGTCTACATTAAGTATTGTAAACCTCTCATTTCTAAAAGGTGAGTAACACTAGCACTTGTAGGGATTAAATGAGCAGCAAATGTAAGCACTTAGAACAATACCAATAGCATCCTGTTAGCTATGATTTCCCTCTAATGAGTAAATTGTTAGGTGAAGTGATCAGTGTTATGTCCATTATTAAAAAGCTAAAAAGGAAATTATTTAAGCCATCTTGAAACATACTATTTAAAGAATTGGAGATAGCATCCAGAATAAAATCTCTTACTTCCTTTTAGAAAACAAAATTGAAAATACCTTAAAATAGAAAAGGAATGTGGAAAAGATTGATTCCTTTAAAAGCTGGACTCAGCTCCCAAGGTACCAGCTACTTACAAATAACCTAAAAATTAGGAAAGACTCCCTGGGGTGGTGGGAGAATCTATATGTTATATGCAAATGTCCTAGCACATAGCAATGGCATGTTAAAGTCGTCCTTCTTAAGGTTTTTCCTTAGCTTTCTCAAATATGTCATCCATAGAAATGAAGTTATATCTTTCTTAATTGTAAAAGCACAAAAATGATGGGCTTTCATTAAATATGTGGCACACACTTCAGCAGTGGTCTGGTTGAAATACTTTTTTTTTTTATGAGGATCTCCTCCTGGTGGCTAAAAAGGGAGTTGAGGGGTGAGGGATGACACATATAATTTCACTGAGAGAGATATGGTAAATATTTCAGTTAATTGAGTTTGTAAGTTGATATTTGTTTGTACTTAGACCAGACTGAAGACAACAGACTTTTGTTAAACTTATATTTTTATTTTTATTTATTTTTATTTTTTTAAAATAATAAAGCCAGGATGTGGGGAAGAGGATAACACTGGAGTGTGGGTGTTCAGGGGGAATACAGATATCTTTCAGAACTGGGTATTGGCTGGGTGAAGGTTCAGGGGACAGGTCACTATGACTCTGCCTATGACTCACTTGTCCTTATCTAAGTTGGTATTGTCTGCCAAGGCTACCTATTTACAAAGTCTATGACTACTCGGGCTGGTAAATTTCCACAAAAGCTGCCTGTTTACAATAGCTTATAGCCATCTGTTTCAATGTTTTTCCACAGAGACCCAAGACTTGGTGTTAGTATACATGT